CGTGTGAATCGGCAAAAGCTCAATCATTGTCGGCCATCTTGGAAAAATACTTCTTGCGCTTGCGTATCTCTCTTTCCTTGCGTTTGCGTTGAACGTGTGAACTCGCTTGCATTTCCATTTGCGTTTGCGTTTGCATTTGCATCGCACGTGTGAACCAGTCTTCAGATTCTTAGATAGAACGACATACTTATAATTATAAAGCTGAATGCGTTTTCAATCTGACAATTGGCAATGTTTCTTTTATGTTGAGCCGTTCTGTTTTCATTTCACGACGTTCTACCTTCTCCATAGAGAATTATAATTAAAAATAAAAGGTCTGCATTTTGGACTCTTTTGCAAACAAAAAAATGGCCCCTAGCGAGAGTTTACGTGTTCATAAACAGACACGCCTGCTGTGAGTACCCTCTGGTCAATATATAGAGGATATTACACGGTGAAGAGAAGACATGAATTGTATGTTCGAGTGGCCAGATCAGTATCAAACGAGTGAGCGCAGCAAACGAGTGAGGTATTAATCAAATGAACATAGGGGGTAACTTTCCAAAGAAACTGTGGTGCTGCGTCGGTGGAAGAGTATAACAGGGTAATTAAGTGTTATTAACTGAGTTGAAAACGTAAATTGGCCACCGTAAAGAGTTTAAAGGCTGACATTTCGAGAGTGAGCCCTTTGTCAGAGCGATTCGAGGAATTGTGGGTTCATATGCAGAAAATGGAGCCATCTATTGGTACGAATATTGTGACGAGGAAAAAAAAATCAATTAGTTGAATGAAAAGCGCTGGCGCTTGTTGATACCATGAGGATTAAGAATGCTGATTTAGAAGATAAATTTTTGTTCTAGAGTTTTGCGGCTTTCCGAAATGGCTAGATGTAGGGAAAGACCGCAAACTGCCATGTGTTTTTTAGAAGGATTAGGGAGATTAAAGTGTATTGCAACTGGTTTGGATGCGTCCTTGTCATTTCTTTCTACGTCGCGAAGGTGTTCTCGTATTCGGTCACCTAGTCGTCTTCCTGTGTCACCAATGTATAACTTTTTGCAATGAGTGCAAGTTATGCAGTAAATGACATTGGCGAAGGTGCACGTAAATGGATCAGAGATCTTAATGGATCTCTTGGGTCCCGACATTTTCCCCATGTTATGAATGAAAGGACAAGTTTTGCATCGTGAGCGAGCGCGTTTAAAAGTTCCAGGTTGGTCATTGGTTTGAAATGAACTTCTGACCAAAACGTTGCCAATGTTTTTGTCACGTTTGAATGAAATTAGTAAAGGTTGCGACAAGTTAGTACCAGTCTCTGGATCGTTTTGGAGTAATTTAAAGTTTATAAGATCACTCATCACTGATCATTACAAACCTTTCAAGGCTGTTCAACACAGACAGATGAAAAATTGACCTGTGCTTTGGTCGTAACTTTGGACAATTCCTTGAAAATCTGGTTTTCTCGTTCTTTTGTTGTTCGGGAAATGCTGATACACATCTTCATCGCTTACCACAACAAATCTTGCTGCCAATTAACATTCGAAACAACAGACAAACCAGTATTTTAAGTCAAATACGGAAAGGGCGGTTTTCAAATGGAAAAGAAGTAGCATGCTGAGGAAGAATGTAATGCAGACTAAACTTATCCCTATTAGAACTCCAATTTAGTTTTTCCGAATGATTGACAGATAATAGCACAAAAGAGAGCGGCATTTTTAGTGCAGCTAAACAAGAATTACAGATAAAAGCATTCGCATACACTCCGCGATTGTTAGTGTGATTAAAGTCCTGCATCGTCGTAAATTCACCCACAAAACAAATGAATATAAAGAATCAACATAAGCAAATCAAACGAGTGGAAATAAATAGTTTCTAAAATCCTTGAAAGGAGGCTTGAAAGCTTTTAGTTTTTACAGGAGAAATTATCTTATTGAAGCAGAAGTAATGGAGGTAATTAGAGCATGTCACTGATAACGAAAGTGTTTCTATTCTATAACGAACTAAGTTTAATTCAAATGCAGAAAGGGCGGTTTTCAAATAGAAAAGAAAGCAGCATGCTGAGGAAGAGTGCAATTGCAGACTAAACCTATCATTATGAGAACTCCAAACTAGTTTTTCCGAATAATTGACAGATAATAGCTGAAAGAAGAACGGCATTTTTAATGCAGCTGAACAAGAATTACAGATAAAAGCATCCGCCTAAACTCCGCGATTCTCCGTGTGATTAAAGTCCTACATCGTCGTAAATTCACCCACAAAACAAATGAATAAAGAGAATCAACATAAGCACATCAAACGAGTGGAAATAAATAGTTTCTAAAATCCTTGAATGGAAGTTTGAAAGCTTTTGGTTTTTACGGGAGAAATTATATCATTGAAGCAGAAGTAAGGGAGGTAATTAGAGTATGTTAATTTGAGAGCAGCTTGACCGAAATTTTGGAATGAAGCCTATGCCTGTAATGCATTAATTTGAACTAATTTCAAACTGCAAAATACTATCGGAGATGAGCTATTTCCCAGATCACAGAGTTGAGCTTTTTAAAATCTGTCGGCTAGTAACTAAGAATATATGACTTTAAAGGGAAAAAATGATCTGGTCGACAAAACTTTACAAAATAAAATTACACGGTGACATTTAACTCTTTTGATCTACCGGTGCATTGGTATTTAACTTTACTCTAACTCCAGTGAAAAAGGGTAGTGTTTTCTCCTAATGATTCCGATTTTTTGATACTTGCCATTTGAAAACTCGACGTTCTGCCTTTCCCCGCAGCAATAAAAACACCAAATATTTATCATTTGGTTATAGGCTACATAAATTGGTGTTTCTAATGCCTCAGATAGCAAGAAGAAGAAGAAGCAGTTATGAGTTTTTTTTTTTGAGACCCCATCATGTGTTCCTCATTCTATCTAATTTCTCTCTGAGTTATCTGTGCAGTTGCTGGTTAAGTTAATTCAGTCATCTTCCTGGATTATTTTTGGTTCCACTCAAAAGAGAAAGAAAACTGACCGGAAGCTCACTATTTGTTGCACTTGTATCGTTGTTTAGTTTTCTAGAAGCGAAAAAATCCATTTCTTTTCATTTTAATCATTTAGACATTTGTACCGTTTCTATCCTTTGTCAACTCTTATATGAGTCCTCTTGTCTACGCTCAGCCAGGATTCAACTCAGAGACTGGAGCGTATCGCGTAACCATTTTGCGGGACCCTAGATCACATAAAATCCAAAGTCAACCCGCGATATTCAAAGCATAGGGTTTTAAGGTGTTTGGTACCTATATAGTCTTTGTTTTGTTTGAGACGATTTTGTCCCGGAGTTTTTGTGTTCGTTTACATGATTTACATAAACGAATCCAAACTTTTGAAGGCTGTATTTTCAACGTATGGAAATGTATACATAATGAGGGAATTCAAGTGAGGAATTATATTTCCGTACTTGCTCTCGAAGGGGGCTGGGGACAGGGGAGCATTACAGAAGGAGTTGTTTTAAACCGGAAATGCAGAACTACGGAGTACTCTCTCAATGCACGATTATTCACTCCAGTCGGTTTCGACGAACTTGTGGAAACTCTTTTATCTGGATGGATCGCTAATAAAGTGAATATTTTAACCCAAATCAGTAAACGCAGCTTTGGAAAAAATACGGTTTACCAGAATTTTTCTCCCTGGGAGGCGGGGTTGCAGGGGGCTGTGTGTCAACCTCAGAAGTCATTAACTATGGTGGCTCTTGCGGCAAGGTATCACTTGATTCGCCTGGTCAGCTTATATCAGAATTGCAATTTTTATCACAACCAGTTACCAGGATTCCTCAGAGACGATAACAACAGAATTTAGTCTCTTCGGTCTAAATGAAATAACAGGGTATTGGTTCATGTAAGTTGAACTTCTATTTCGCTGCCAGTGCCGAAAAAAAGCTCGGCTATTTTACTCATTTTAGTTATCCGTCCCTAATTATACTTTGAAAGAACGCATCTCACGCAATCATTCTCGGCCATCTTGGAAAAATACTTGTACTGCGCTTGCGTACCTCTCTTCCCTTACAGTTACGTTGAACGTGTGAACTCGCTTCCATTTCCATTTGCGTTTGCGTTTGCACTTGCATCACACGTGTGAACCAGTCTTCAGAACCTACTATGGAATGACATACTTATAATTACAGAGCTGAATACGTTTTCGACTGAAAATTCGCAATGCTTTTTATATGATGAGCCGTTTTGTCTTCATCTCATAAAAAATGATAAATTAAATAAAAGTTCGGCGTTTTGGGACTCATTTGCTCTCACTGGTAGATAAACTGAAAATATAACTCGGTGGCGAGAAGATATTTTGGTTTTCTCATTCTCATGTTGTTCGGGAAATGCCGATTTACATCTTCGTCGCTTACCTCAATGAATCTTGAAGGCAATTAATATTCCAACAACAAACAAACCAAATTCACTCAGCAAAATTTAAACAGGCCCGAATCGTGTCGTTGTTGCTCGATATCACAACACCACGTGTGACATACGAAAAATACGCCACTCGGTTCCTGGATGTGTTGTTCGCATTAATTCTACGAGTGTGGACGTCAGTGTTTTGTTTCACGGTAAAACACTCCCTTCCATATAAAAACTGTGGTTACTCCAGAGGTTGTAAATACGATTTTGACTTTTTTACTCACACGTTTTTGCATTGCTTTCCTTTGCGCATAATGCTTTTCGATAAAACAAAAAAAAAAATTTTTCCATTTTCACACAGCCTCCTCAGTATATGTGGGTGGGGAGGGGGTGGGAGAGTCCCTCTAAGTTATTCATCTCGGATTTGTTAAAAGTCACATTTATTTTGGTTCAAGTCAAGCTTTTATGCTAATGATCACAACGTTGGGCCTATAAAAAGTTGATTAAACTGTTTTTATTTAAAGGCAGAACTATACTGTATCAGTTATCTGTTCGTATACCTCCAGTGTATTTTTTTTACAAATGTTAAGATTTTAATTGGAAACCAAAACATAAAATGGAAATGCTAATAGTTTTCTTACCTTTAATCTACGCTCTCCTAAGGATACGAAGTGGCAGGTTTGCTGGGGCGTTAGAAAGGTCTGGGACCCTGTAAACTAGCTGTAATAAACCTTCTCTGAATCCTGGCACCCGAAGAGCGTAAATTATAGGATTTACAAGTGAGTTAGCTAAGAATAGAACTTGCACAGCCATATAAATATGAACATTTATGAAATAAGTGGAGGAGTGAAGAGTCCATCCTGCATGTATCATCGCTGGTAGAAAACAAAGTAACGATACAAGTGAGACAATAAGCGCAGTACCCGTCAGTTTTCTTTCTCTTTTTGATCTAGAATGGAATTGGGGATGACGACTACATCGTACTTTGATAACAACGAGGATGTAAGATACACAGATAACAAATAGAGAAACTGCATAAAATAGGAGAAACAAGTAAGTACTCATAACCGCGACTCCACTTTTCAACAAGAAAATTATAGCGGCCCCTCTAACAATAGGTATTAACCAAATGACAATAATTATGGCTCTATGAACCCATTTGCTCACAAAGCGATGCCTGAATGGACAAAATGTTGCGTGTAGCCGTTCTAAGGAAATAGCAGTAAGATTTATAAAGGAAGAGAACGGGAATAGCTGCATAACTACAATTAAAAAATAAGAAGACCAAATATTCATTTGTCTGTACTTCCATAGCGGACAGAACACCGCCAGTTGGTTTTCAATTGCTAGCGGCCCAGAGACTGCGCCCGCTAAGAGATCGACTATCGCCAGATGGATGATCAAATACGTACTCCGCCGCTGTAGCTAACTCTTCTTCTTCACAAAAACCACAATGGTGATGATATTAAGGATGACTATGGCCAGACATTCGATGATGAGGACCACAAGCCATGGAATGCACTCTGAAGCTGAGCGGAATGGCTGCATTTTCTCTGAGCTCTGTTCGCTGCTATAAAAATAACAGAAAACAGTTCAATTAGAGGTAAAATGAAATACGAATTCAACATTCTCAATAAAGAAATATGTCGATTATTGCTTTTTATGTTTTTTTAACGTGTTTTGACCAACTAAGTTTCGTCTGTTAACTAAAACTGATCCTCGTGTTTCTTTATGCGACATTCATACCCGGAAATTTAATCATTCAGCCTATTCATTTTTCTTTCTTTCGAAAAAGACAAATATAATAATATGAACTTTTTTGATGTTCACTGAATAAGCGGAAAGCTTTGCCACCAGTGATCTCAGTTGCTTGAATGAAATCTATAGCCTCCAAAGACAGATGGCAACAAAAAATTTAGCGATCTTCGAATTCCAGAAATATGGTAGAAAGGCTGAGTATAAAAAGACCTACTTCTCTTCTCGGTGCCGCTATTCGAAATACGGTTGTTGTTGTTACCGCCTTGAAAACTTCAAAGACAAATTAATTGTAGGTACGGTGAAACATAACGAACATTCTTAAAAGCAAAAGCATCTCTTATGTTTTATTTTCTACACCCAGAAGCTTAGTAATAGTCTTTTCTCGCTTCGGATAAATTTCTTGCTTTGTCAATATCATAAGCAACAAGCTGGAGAAAGATATCTTTTTCGTCGCGTTACGATTATTAAGATTATCAATGACACATTTCCGTCCATATTGATTCAGTTTTCCTCATCTCATCGAAGGCAGAATTTGCAAACGAATCTTAAGAATATTTTGAACTTACCTCAATGATAACGAAAGTGTTTCTATCCTTTTAACGAGCTGAGCTTAAGTCAAATGCGGAAAGGGCGGTTTTCAAATACAAAAGAAAGCAGCATGCTGAGGAAGAATGCAATGCAGACTAAACTTATCACCATTAGAACTCCAATTTAGTTTTCCCGAATGAATGACAGATAATAGCTGAAAGGAAAACGGCATTTTTAGTGCAGCTAAACAAGAATTACAGATAGAGACATCCGCCTAAACTCCACGATTGTTATTGTGATTAACGTCCTGTATGGTGGTAAATCCACCCACAAAACAGCTAAATAGAGAATAACATTAGCGCATTAAACGAGTGGAAAGAAAGAGTTCGTAAAATCCTTGAATGGAGCTTTGAAAGCTTTTGGTTTTTGCGGGAGAAATTATATCATTGAAGCAGGCAAGTGAACTGGCTTTGAACGATTTGTTAGAAATAGGAGGTCCATTTGTAATTTGTTTTTTTCATCGTCTCGTCACGAACGTGTAATGAAGGCTGAGAAGGAACAGGCTTTTCACAAGAGGTCTCCAATTCATCAACCGTTTCATAAGCATTAGAAGGAGGAAATAAGGGTACAATTCTAGAATTTTCCACAGGCTTCCAAAGGATTTTCCATAAACTCTCTCCACCCTCTTTAACTCGGCTTACTTCATCTCACCAAAGCTAGAGTTTGTAAACGAATGAAATCTTACGAACCTACCTCACTGATAACGAAGTACTTCGTATCCCCTAAAAACTGAGTTAGAGTCAAATTTGACCAAAGGCGGTTTTCCGAATGAATGAGAAACAGCACGCCACGGAATAGTGATAGAGAATAGACACACCACTATCACGACTCGAATTTAACTTTCCAAATGTCTGACATATGATATCTAGATGTCGCAAGACGTTCTGAGTGCAGCTGAACAGGGACAACAGATAAACTGTTCTAAACCTGTACGTCGTTAATTCAAAGAAAGTTCCGTATCTATGTGAACCCAAACCGCCGGCACAACAGCTTCGTCTGGAGAATCAATACCTGAATATCAAATAAATGAAGATGAATAGTTTTTTTAGAAACCTTGAATACAGTTTTGAAAGCTTTTGATGTTTACAGGAGAAGTTATATCACAGAAGAAGGCGATTTAACTGGCTGAGAAAACATTTCAAAATTAAAATACGAGGCATATTTTTTTAGTGTTTTTAATTTGGTTCAAAAAATTTTCTTTTTTCCTTAAAAAAACTTCTTTAGTCGATTTTTCATTTAATAATAATTTTTCCTTTGATTTTAAGTTGAAAAGTTGTGGCAGCGTGATCTAAGATGTTACAATACTCATCAGAACAAAGAGTGCGACATTGTGGAGAATTATGTAAATGTCTGAAAATTTGAGAATGCAATCACTGATCAATTGCAAGTGCCCACCTACGCGTGTGGATAAAAGTCGAAGGGTTTCGCAGACATAGCAGGCATTAGAGTCCGCACATAAAAACTTGTAAAGCACACACGTACGGAGCCCACGAGGGTCTTTCACACCAAACTTATCGGCTATTTTAAAAGATGAAAAAACTAACTTTATATCGATGTTGTTAAAATAACACTTAGCAAATCGGCGAACCCTTTTTTGCGCGACAAAAGAAAAAGGGCCAATGTAAGGTGATTTAAAATAAAAGTTAGTAGTTGTGTCTGAAACGGAGACCGGGGGATCGCACTCATCACGGGTGAGCGTGAGGTACCGATTGACAACCCTTTCAACCAGATGGGCTGGAAAAAAATTATTTTTAAGGATTTCAGTGAGTTTCTTGATGTCTTCGTCGAAACCCAACCATGTGTTGTTGATCTTGTAGGCTCTATGAACAAGAGTGCGAATGAGACCCAGATTGTAGGGATAAAGTATAAAGCTAAAATAATTAGTCATCAGTCAACATCACCAACTTTATCATATTAATGTTATAATTTCTATATTTAAGACTTTATTTTCTTGCAAGGTAGGTCATAAGTAAAGCAAACCTACTGAACAGAACTTAAAGAGTATCGTCATAAATTCGACGGTGTAATTTTTTGAAACTAATACAGTTGTAATTTCATATCTTAAGTTAAAAATATTCTCATGAATAAGACATTTATTGACAGCCCCACGTTCACAATCTCACAGGCGGGATCATAAAGGAAGTAATTAGGGTATGTTAATTTGACTGCAACCGAACTAAATTTTGGATGGACGTATACACCTGATTTGCGTTAATATGGAATGAGTACGTTACTTTATCGTTGTCAAACTGCAAAATGCTACCAGAGATAAACTATTTCCTTGATCATAGAGTTGAATTTTTTAAAAGCTGTTGATTAGTACCTAAGAATATATAATATTAAACGGGAAAAATGATCCAGCCAACAAAACTTTAGAAAATAAAATAACACGGTGACGTTTATTTCTTTTGATCTACCGCTGCATTTGTATTTAATTTAACTCTAACTCCGGTCGATGAAGATAGTATTCTCTCCTCATGATGATTCCGATTTTTTAATACTTGCCATTTGAAAACTCGACGTTCTGCCTTTCCCTGTAGCTATAAAACCAACCAATATTTATAATTTGGTTATCGGCTACAATCAAAGTGGTGGTTCTTATACCTCTGATGGCAAGCAGCTACAGTTTATATGTGTTTATTTTTGAGACCCTATCAAGTGTTCCCCATTCTATCTCATTTCTCTCTTAGTTATCTACGCAGTTGCTGGTTAGGCTATCTCAGTCATCATCCTCGATTACTTTTTTTCCACTCAGAGAGAAAGAAAACTGAATGGAAGCTCACTAATCGTTGCATTTGTATCGCTATTTAGTTTTCTAAAAGCGACAAAATGCATTGCTTTTCATTCTTATCATTTAGATGTTTGTACCGTTTCTATCGTTAGTCAATTGCAACCCTTATATGAGTCTACTAGTCTACGTTTAGCCAGAACTCGATTCGGAGACTGGAGCGTATCGCCTAACCATATTGCAAATCCCAGATCATATAAAATCCAAAGACAGTACGCCATATTCAAAGCGTAGTGCTTGAAGGTGTTTTTGGCTCCTAAAGTCTTTGTTTTGTTTGGGACGATGTTGTCCCGGTTTTTTTGTTCATTTACAAATTTACATAAACGAGTCCAAACTTTTGAAGGCTGTATTTTAAACGTATGGAAATATATACACAATGAGGCAATTCAAGTGAGAAATTATGATTATATTGCCTTACTTTCTCTCGAATGGGGTAGGGGGTGGGGGAGGGGGAGCATGATAAATAGAGAATAATACATAGGCGCGCGTAGATATGGAATTTCTCTTCGAGTTGAGCACGAGAAGAGAAATTCCATATCTACAAGCAACCATGTATTATTTTGGTTATCATATAAACACAATAGCCCTTTACTGGGAAGAAAAGCCGACTTCATTAATGAATGAAAATAAATGAATCGACAATCCTCGAATAACAATCGTAGAGTGCGTTGGTGCTGACTCTTAAGATGGAAAAATGTGTTGAATCACAAAAACAACAATGGTCGTAATTTTCAATTTAAAATATTCTCATTTATTGACTTTGTCCTTACCGACAGAAGAATTCTTTCAGGTAAACGGCAAAAATCGGCCAATGGCAAATCTTGAGTTGTCGATTTTCATTCTCAGCCTAGAGAAATGCTAACACCAAAGCCACTGAATACGCAACTTTCGGTTTTCTTTTAGTATATTGGTTTTCTTCCTCTTCTAGCAAAGTTTGAACCTCATTGTCTGTCAGCGATACGGATTTTTTAATGTTTTAGCCGCCATAATTCGAGAAAGCTCCGAAAAAAATTCCTTGTTTGAACTAATCAGCCTTTTTGTAACATAGGACTCCCAACTTATATGTGGTTGCAATGGCTAAGTTTTCTGGCTCAATATCACTACACCACGTGTTACATACGAAAAATACGCCAATACAGATAACAAATAAAGAAACTACACTAAATAGGATATACAAGGAAGTGTTAATTACAATATCATTAGCAATTCCCTCTAAGAAAATTTGAGCGACCTCGCTAACAACAGCTATTAACCAAATGACAATAATTATGGTTCTATGAACCCATTTCCTCACAAAGCGATGCCTGAATGGAAAAAATGTTGCGTGTAGCCGTTCTAAGGAAATAGCGATAAGATTTGTTAGGGAAGTGAACGAGAAGAAATGTACAAATGCATAAGATAAATAATAAGACCAAAGAGTCTTTCGTCTGTTATTCCATAGAGGACAGAGCCGCGACATTCTTATTTTAATCTGCAGCGGCCCAGAGACTGCACCCACTAGGAGATCGACCATCGCCAGGTGCATGTGGATGATCAAATATGTACTCCGCCGCTGGAGCTGACGCTTTTTCTTCACAAAAACAACAATGGTGATGATATTAAGGATGACTATGGCCAGACATTCGATGACGAGGACCACAAGTCATGGAATACAGTGCGAAGCTGAGGAGGAAGGCTGCATTTTCTCAGACCTCTATTAGCCGCTATGAAAATAACAGAAAACAGTTCAATCAAAGATAAATGAAATATGAATTCAATATTCTCAATAAAGAAATATGTCAAATATACAGTAGAAAGACCTGCTCCTCTTCTCGGAGCTGCTTTCGAAATACGGTTGTTGTCATAAACGATAGCGGTTCTTGCAGCAAGGTATAACTCGATTCGCACTGCGAAAGTTAGATGTAAAAATAGTGTTGACAATTTTATCGCGATTGATCACCAATTCAGATTGTCGGTGAAAATAGCAAGAGAATTATACTTGCTACCTTTCTGTTGTACTTTGACTCATTTTCATGTTCCCTTTTTTTTTTTTGGTGCAATACATATCCGGCAGTTTGATAATTCAGTCTCCCTCTCTTTTTTTGGAACAAATTTCTTCTTTTACCAACAATACAACAGTCTTTTGATATACTCTGAATAAGCAAAAGCCTCTATACGAGAAATCTCAATTGCCTTAATCGTTTTACAAGCATCAAAAGAAACAAACTGAAAAAAGAACATTTCCATATACTTGTAAAGGATTGTCGATGGACGTAAATATGATAACAAAGATGGCAAGAGGGGATCAAGATGGAAAATGTTGTACTCGGTAATGAAACTAAGAAAGATCTTTTCATTATCGTGACATAAACGTGTAACAAAGGCTGAGAAGCAACAGATTTTTCACAAAAGGTCTCAAATTCATCAAATGTTTCGTAAGCATTAAAAGAAGGAAACAAAACTAAAATTCTAAAATTGTCCACAGGCTTACAAAGGATTTTCCATAACTTCTCTCCGCCCATTTTAATTCGCATTACCTTATCTCACCCAAGTTAGAGTTTGTTAACGAATTAAATCTTACGAACATACCTCACTGACAACAAAGCACTTAGTATCCTCTAAAAAGTAAGTCAGAGTCAAATTTGACCAAATACGGTTTTCCGAATGAATAAGAAAACAACATGGCAAGGAATAGTGATAGATAATAAACACACCATTATCAAGACTCGAAATTAGTTTTGCAAATGTCTGACATGTGATGTCTAAACGTCAGATGTTTTGAGTGCTGCTGAACAGGAAGAACAGGTAACCTGTTCTACACTTACACGTCGTTAATTCAAAGAAAGTTCCGTATCTATGTGAAATCAAACCGCCGGCAAAACAGCTTCGTCTGGAGAATCAATACCTGAATATCAAATAAATGAAGATGATTAGTTTCAAGAAACCTTGAATGAAGTTTTGAAAGCTTTTGGTGTTTATAGGAGAAGTTATATCACAGAAGAAGGAAATTTAACTGGCTGAGCAAACTTTTCAAAATTGAAGTACAAGACATTTTTTTAATGTTAGTAATTACGAATGGTTTACAAAATATCTTTTTCCCTTTAAAAAACCTCTAAAGTCGATTTTTCATTGTTTATGTCTGCACTGAACTAGTCATTTTCTTTCATTAAAAATAAACTCCTCTTGAAAGCTTGGCTCCTAATTATATTCAGTTCAAGGAATTGCTTATCGTAACTCAAGTTATTAATGACAGCTTTGGATTATATTTCCAATGAAGTATTCGCAAGATAACTGCGTATAAGTTTTATGAACAGAAATCTTTATAGCAATGATAAAGACCGTGCATCTTTTGACATGTAGTTACGTAAAGACTGCGTTGTTGAAAGTTGGTGATAATTTATTAATTAAAGACTTCATTTTCTTACAAGGTAGGTCATAAGTAAAGCAAACATACTGGACAGGACCTCAAAAGAATAATCATAAATTAGACAGTCTTATTTTTTGTTGTAATATCATAGCTTAAATTAAAAACTATTTTAATGAATAAGACATTATGAAGACATGCGTTTCATTGTCTCACACGTGGGATCGTAAAGGAGGTAATAAGAGCATGTTAATTTAAGTGCAGCTGAACCAAAATTTTGGATAGAAGCATACACCTGTATTGCGTTAATTTGGACTAAGTCCTTTACTTTATCATAGTCAAACTGCAAAATACTATCGGATATGAGCTATTTCCTAGATCATAGAGCTGAATTTTTTAAAAGCTGTCGGTTAGTAACTGAGAATATGTAACATTAAAGGAGAAAAACGATAAGTTAATTCAGTCGTCATCGTCGATTATTTTCCATTCCACTACAAGAGAAAGAAAACCCTCCGGAATCCCACTATTAATCGTTGCACTTGTATCGTTGTTTAGTTTTCTATGAGCAACAAAATGCATTGCTTTTCATTTTAATCATTTACATGTTTGTACCGTTTTTATTCTCAGTCAACTCTCATGTGAGTCTTCTCGTCTACGCTCGGCTAGAATTTCGATGCCAGGATTCAAAGACTAGATTGTATCACGTGTATCAATTATCTGTTACCTGAGAATGAGAACCAAAAAATAAGATGGAAATGCATGATGTTCGACTAAGAAGTTAAAGTTATTTAGAAACAAACTTCATCAATAGTTTTCCTACCATTTATCTACGCTCTCCTAAGGTTACGAAGTAGCAAGTTTGCTGGGCCATCAGAAAGGTCTGGGACCCTGTAAACTAGCTGTAATAAAGATTTTCTGAATCCTGGCATCCGAAGAGCGTAAATTATAGGATTTACAAGTGAGTTAGCTAAAAATAGAACTAACACAGCTTTATCAATATGAAAATTTCTGACGCAAGTGAAGGAAACGCGAAGACACGCTACATATATCATCGCAGGTAGAAAACAAAGTAACGATACAAGTGAGACAATAAGCGCAGTACCCGTCAGTTTCCTTTCTCTTTTGGACCTGGAATGGAATTGAGGATGACGACTACATCTTACTATGATGGTAATGAGGATGTAAGATACACAAATAACAAAAAGAGAAACTGCATAAAATAGGATGTACAGGTAAGTATCAATTACCACTAGATCAGCAATTCCCTCTAAGAAAATTTGAGCTGCTTCTCTAACAATAGGTATTAACCAAATGACAATAATTATGGCTCTATAAACCCATTTCCTCACAAAGCGATGCCTGAATGGACAAAATGTTGCGTGTAGCCGTTCTAAGGAAATGGCAATAAGATTTGTTAGGGAAGCGAACGAGAATAAATGCAAAAATGCAAAAGATAAAGGATAAGACCAAAGAGTATCTCGTCTGTACTTCCACAGCGGACAGTACCACGCCATTTTTCGTTCAATCTGTAGCGGGCCAGAGACTACGCCCACTAAGAGATCGACCATCGCCAGATGGATGATTAAATATGTACTCCGCTGCTGTAGCTGACGCTTCTTCTTCACAAAAACAACAACGGTGATAATATTAAGGATGACTATGACCAGACACTCGATGATGAGGACCACAAGCCATGGAATACACTCTGAAGCTGAGTAGAGAGGCCGCATTTTCTCTGGGTTCTGTTAGCTGCTTTGAAAATAACAGGAAACAGTTCAGTCTGAGATAAAATAGAATACGAATTCATTTTTCTCAATTAAGATATATGTCAAATATTGCTTTTTAGGTTTTTTTTTAACGTGTTTTGACCAACTAAGTTTCGTCCGTTGACTTAAACTGATCCTCGTTTTTCTTTATGCGAGATTCATATCCGGAAATTTAATCATTCAGTTAATTCCCATTTTTTTCTTTCGATAAAGACGAATTTAAAAATGTAGAACTTTTTCGATGTTCACTGAATAAGCGGACAACTTTGCCACTTGTGATATCAATTGCTTGAAAAATATTTACAGCCTCCAAGAAAAGATAGCATTAAAAAAAAATTTTATAATCTTCCAGAAATACAGTAGAAAGACTGAGTAGAAAGACGTGCTCCTCTTCCTGGAGCTGCTTTTAGATATACGCTTGTTGTTGTTACCGACTTGAAAATTTCAAAGACAAATTAACTGTTGGTACGGTGAAATATAACTAAAATTTTCAAAAGCAAAAATCTTTCTCATTTTTTATTTTCCACTTGTAGCGAAGGCTGAGAAGCAACAGGCTTTTCACAGGAGGTCTCAAATACATCAACCGTTTCATAAGCATTAAAAGAAGGAAATAAAACTAAAATTCTAAAATTTCCCACAGGCTTACAAAGGATTTTCCATAACTTCTCTCCACACATTTTAACTCGCTTTACCTCATCACACCAAAACTAGAGTTTGTAAACGAATGAAATCTTAAGAACATACCTCACTGATAACGAGGTACTTCGTATCCTCTGAAAAATGAGATGGAGTCAAATTTGACCAAAGGCGGTTTCCCTACTGAATAAGAAAACAGCACGCCAGGGAATAGTGATAGAGAATAAACACACAACTATCAAGACTCGAAATTAGCTTTCAAAATATCTCACATATGATATCTAAATGTCGGAAGATGTCTTGAGTGCAGCTGAACAGGAACAACAGGTAAGCTATACTACAGCTGTACGTCGTTAATTCAAAGATAGTCCTGTATCTAAGTAAACCGAAACCGCCGGCAAAACAGCTTCGTCTGGAGAATCATATGCCTGAATATCAAATAAATGGAGATGAATAGTTTCTAGAAACTTTGAATGGAGTTTTGAAAGCTTTTGGCGTTTACCTGAGAAGTTATATTACTTAATAATATACATGAAAAAATTACTCAGTTCTGATTGGATAAGATAAATGCAGTTTTCAGGTAATTCAACGAAGAAGATGGTTAATTCAGTACAAAGAAAGCAACAAACTAGACATTCTGACTGGTCAATAACCAAAGAAACTCACAGATAGCCAATCAAATGTGAGCCTTGGATGTCGCAACATTTGGATACGCTGAAAATTTGCAAGCGAAACAATGGCCGGCGTTTAAAGAAGGTTTTCTTTCAGCACCGCAACAACAATACAGTACCTGAAAAACAGCTCTAACAACAAAAACACTGTAAAAAGTACTGCTTTTTGGTTGTCGGTTTGGAAAAAGTGGTGTATAGAGAAGGCAATTGCCAAGAAGATCAAAATTATGAGCCGGCCCAGCTTAACACTTTGCTCGAGCGATTCTACGCCGAAATTAAAAACAAACATGGTTAAACCTCGCAAACGACGATTCCGTCGAAAGTGATTCGGGCACAGACTGAACGATTCCTTGAACTGTTAAGCCGGACTTTGAACTTTTTTGCGCCTTAAAGATGTGAAAATATCATTATATATTATTATTTTGATCGTACGCGGTTGTTTTGGCCGAATGCAGAATTTTGAATAAATTATTTTTGCACTTGTTGCGCGCGCTTTGCTTCTGCATAATTATGATAAGCTATCTCGTATCTTTTCATGCATATTATTAATACGTAATCACATGATTCCGAGTGCAATTTGGAATAAATAAGCTCTTGTTAATTTTTTCCATAGACCACAACCTTCGGCGTTGTGCAATTTTGTTAGTCTTTGAAAAAATGTACCCGTGCTTATTTATTCCAAATTTGGTTATTTTTAAAGCAGATTCTGCATGGGCGGACGACCTCTTATCAAATTGTTTTTTTTACTGACAACTAACTACCGAAGTTAACAGATGGTATTAAAGTTTGAATTTTACGACCGTTTTTCATCTTTGATGTCAAAAGATTTCCTCAGCCACTTTATCGTCGCGTTTTATTGCGTTTGGCAGAAAACAAGAGAGAGAAATCATTAAACGAGGCAGAAAATGTTTCCATCGCAACCACATTTGAATTGGGAGTCTTAAGTTCCCAAAAGGCTGATTAGTTCAAACAAAACCATCAATTTGTGGTCCATGGAAAAATTAACTAGTGCTTATTTATTCCAAATTACACTCGAAATCATGTGATTACCGATACGATGAAGGCAATTTAACTGGTCAAGAAACCATTTCAAATTAGGAATACGACGTATTTTTTAATTTTGTTAATTATGTTCCTCAAAATTTTATTTTTCCCTTTAAAAAACTACTTTAGTCGATTTTACATTTCTTATGTCTGCACTGAACTGGTCATTTTCTTTAAAAATAAACCTTTGTTGAAAACTTAATTCCTTATTTTATTCAGTTCAAGGAATAGACCTTTTTACAGTTCCCAGCGCCATATTGGACATGTAACCGCGCAGACGTGAGAGCGAAGCTGGGGTTGACTCGTGCTAAATCTCTCTGAGCGCTTTTGGAGAAATTCGTACGTAGGTAGTAAAACTGTTCAATTTTTTAGGAAAATGGATGGTCCTAGCCGAAATCTCGATAAAGCTAATTTTTTTCCCAAATAGAAAGGAAAGCAGTGTGCCGCTTTTGGTTGTTCAAATACATTTTATGGCCCCGATGGTTAGCCTACGAGCTTTCACGTCTTCAAGTTTATGCACGGAGGCATGTATTTTTGCTAAGCATTTATGGTTGAATCTGATCTCGTCACGGGTTCTCATGTTCGGAGCCTTAGGATCAATCTTTATTATTTTTGGCTAGGTTCTCATGTTCTTCTTACCAAATCGAATCTTTCTGATCAATATTTTGTCGACTGGCTTCGCTGCCACTCTTCAGTTGCGGGGTACCACTCACACTAAGAGCCGCGACGTGCTGGTTAATGGTTTTGAGTTATTTTGGAACCTTCTTCTTATAAAATCCTCAATAGCAAACAGCACTCCCCCGATGTGGTTTCATTTTCCTTTTCCTCGAAGATCGAGGCCAGTGGGGTACGTACACGCTGCGCCTAACACATCACAGGTGGATGAAAACTCCAGAACAGCTCTGTAAGGCGTTTTCTTCATCGAGTGAAAAACATTTTCCTTTACATAACTTTTGTTTTAAAACATTTACCCTTTTTTACAGTTTTTTTACATTTCCTTCGAAGAAGAACTGAGAGGATTTCAGATTTTCGTTATGCGTTCCTCTCAACACGGTGTGGCGATATTTTCATGTATAAACAACGGGGTAATTGTAAAGCTGAATGAAATTCATCTCGGGTAAATTACGAAGATCGCTCGACCATCCAAGGGCTGAAATCCTTACCATAGTTTCTTCGTATTTGAAGTCGCTCTGGTTTTGTTCTAGGTCCTGGACATCTGTAGGAAGTTCTCGGTTTTCTCCACTACTCGATGGAAGGACGTGTCACATCAGCAAAGCATAAACTTTCGACACTAAGTCGGCTCTAATTCCGCTCGTCGATTTTGAATTAGATTTTAAAATCTCCCTGAGATCTTTTGTTTTAAGTTTCTTGATGTCATCTAATGACGAAATTTCCATATAGTTGTAATAAAGAACCATTTTGAAGGGAGAAATCGCATTGAAAAGTGCATTAGAACATGAAATGTCAGCAGATCAGCTGTTTGAAAGTGCCGCCGGGTCAACTCCAGCCTCGTTATTGTGTGTGCGCGGTTATTAATCCAATATGGCGCCGGGAATTGTAAAAACTCAAGTTATTAATTGCAGCTTTGGATTATATTTCCAATGAATTATTCGCAAGATAACTGCGTAGAAGTTTAACGAACAGAATCTTTATAGCGATGGTAAAAATTGTGCACTTTTAGCATGTAGTTATATAAAGATTGCGTTATCGAAAGTTGGTCATAACTTCTTAACTAAAGACTTTATTCTCTTACAAGGGAGATCTCAAGTAAAGCAAACATACTGGACAGGACTTCAAAAGAATAATCATAATTAGACAGTCTAATTTTTTGTTGTAATATCATATTTTATGTTAACAACTATTTTAATTAATGAGACATTAATTGACAGCCTTACGTTCCACTGTCTCGCAGGCGGGATCATAAAGGAGGTATTTAGAGTATGTTAATTTGAGTGCAAATGAACCGAAATTTTGGATAGAAGCGTACATCTATATTTCGTTAATTTGGACCAAGTTTTTTACCTTATCATAGTCAAACTGCAAAATACTATCGGAGATAAGCTATTTCCTAGATCCTAGAGTTAAATTTTCTAAAAACTGTCGTCCAGTAACTGAGAATATATAACATTATAGGGGAAAAATTATAGCTTAATTCAATCATCATCGTCGATTATTTTTCGTTCCACTACAAGAGAAAGAAACCCTCCGGAAGCCCATTAATCGTTGCACTTGTATCGTTGTTTAGCTTTCTATGGGCGACAAAATGCTTTGCTTTTCATTTTAATCATTTAGATGTTTGTACCGTTTCTATTCTCAGTCAACTATCACATGAGTCTTCTCGTCAACAATCGGCCAGAATTTCGATGCTAGGATTCAAAGACTGGATTGTATCACGTAACCATTCTGCAGATCCCAGATCATATAATATCCAAAGCCAATACGCGATATTCAAAGCATAGGGTTTTAAGGTGTTTTTGGCTCTCGTAGTCTTTCTTTTGTTTGAGACGATTTTGTCCTGGAGTTTTTGCGTTCATTCGCATTATTTACATAGACGAATCCAAACTTTTGAAGACTGTATTTTAAACATATAGAAATATATACATAATGAGGCAA